CAATCAAGGAAACCCTGATCAGAGCTTAGGAACTCTACAGAATACCTGATCCAGTTTCTTCCACAATAAAAAACTGCAAGGAAAGCAAAGGGAGAAATGGAATGAGAACCCACAGTTTAAAGAGACTTAAAAAAACATCAACTAACCGCAAAGTATGGATCTTGTTTGTACTCCATTTCAAACAGGCAAATAAATTTAATAGGCAATTGGGAAAATGTGAACATTGACTAGCATTTGATATTATAGAAATGTTGATACTGTTGAAACTGACTGATGAGTACATGGAGTTCATTATACTTTCCTCTCTAATCTTGTATATTGATATTATACTACTGTAATATTGATATTTTTAAAAATAAAAGTATAATAATAGTTCTCTATCAGGCCAGTTAGCTTTTAAGCAAAATCTTCTTCCCTTTCTTCACAAGAAGCATTACTTCTCCAGTAAAAAAAAAAAAGAAAAAAAAAATCAAGTCTCTCACATGGTCCAAAGATTTTGTTAACAATAACCGTGAAGCCATATGCCTCTCAGAGGTTCTTCCTTTTTTCCCCCAAGTTTTAACTTAGAAAATACTCCTTCAATGTGTTGTCCAAAATCTCTTAATCCCTAGAGATGTTTCTTTTCACTGTTCAGTCATCACCTGCTAAATCACTGAGCAAGAACATCAGTTAGTTTGATAACACATGGCAGGCTTCCATCCCATTCTAGAGAGTCACTATAGGAAGACAGCCAGCTATTAATCAGTCCAAATACAACTCTGTCTACTCAATACAAACACCAGCCATGACGTGTAGTTCGTCAGGCACCATGCCTCCTCATAAAAATAAGGAGCTGTAGTGTCCTCCAGTTTTGCACAAGCCTCATACTGGTTATATGACTGTCCTGATGCAGATTCTTTGCTCCTTTTTTTGACAGCTCTGTGTGTCACATTTATTCATCCTTCATTCTTGTGATTCAGTTTATTGATTTCCATGGACAACCTCCTTAGCATAGCACAGGGCACAGGTACCTACTCCTCTAAGACACCAATTCAACTTTGGTGTGCAAAACCCCATTCTTTTTTTTTTTTTTTTTTTTTTTTTGCGGTACGCGGGCCTCTCACTGTTGTGGCCTCTCCCGTTGCGGAGCACAGGTTCCGGACGCGCAGGCTCAGCGGCCATGACTCACGGGCCTAGCTGCTCCGCGGCATGTGGGATCTTCCCAGACCGGGGCACGAACCCGTGTTCCCTGCATCGGCAAGCAGACTCTCAACCACTGCGCCACCAGGGAAGCCCCAAAACCCCATTCTTAAAGCACAGATACTGTAGCCACATGATACCCTTTTTCCTCTTCTGAGTCATAATGCTGAATTTCTCAGCCTCAGTTTGGTTTTGATTTCTGCTTTTTCTTCCATATTACCCGGAATTCACTCTAACAAGCAGTAACACTGAGAAAACCTTTCAATAGTTTCTCTCTAAACATGGTTCAAGTCTGCATTTAGTTCATGTGTAATTACAGGTTACTGGACCACCCGTAGGTTTCCATTCCTCCTAACACTGACTGGGGCATCAGGTAGAATTTTCTTATCTCCTAACAACACTTGCTGTCTTCTCTGGTTGGGAAATTCCACTTCTAGAGTGAGATGCTGGTCCTTAGGTTGCTCTGCCTTAGATTCATCATAATAGTTTTATCGCCAGTGGCAGTTTGACAGCACCACAAGGCTTTCGCTAGCAACCCACTAGCAATTATTACTAACAAAAAGTAGGTTCTACACCGAGGAACCACCAAATAGAGGAAACCTCTCCCTGCCCCCACCCAACAATTTTAGAGCTGCGCTCAGCCTCTTTCTCTTAAAATTAAGTATGAGTCCATTTTTTCACAGGCTTCAGGGTTATTCAGAGTATTCAGTGTATAATTTCATTTAACTGCTATTTCTCAATCAGATTCTTATTCTTCATTATGAAAAATACTAAATGCATTTATTTTGAATGTTTTAAACTACATTATTACATGCTACCTGCCATCTTATTTAAGGAACACACACAAAAAAGAAAACATTTATTCTGGGATAAGAAATTAAATATCGTTAAGAGCCAATGTTACTTGTAAAAAAATAGGAGAGGAGAATGGAAGCATGGCTTTGAAACAGATGCCAGTTTTCTGTGGAAGAGCAGGAATCCTCCAGATGGAGGAACCATTATTAGATCAAGAAATATTTCGCGTACCGCAAAAAAAAAAAAAAAGAAGTATTCACCTTTGCCAAAGTTTTAATCAGGTCCAGTTAGTCAAAAGAACTGATGGAGTGTGTTTGCCTAACAACCTCAAAACAGAATGTAAAATATAATATACACAGAGAGAGAGAAGATAACCTAGTCCTCAAGCTGCTTCCAATCCAGCTGAGGAGCTATTTGTGTCACAGCTGAAGGCCATAAAATGGCAGGGGAACATATCATTCAGCACCCCTATTTGTTTTACCAAAACAAAGGGTACAAAGAGCTCAATGCTTTCAAAAAAACTGTGTTCAGCGGAACAAAACTGCCTTAAGGACTGCTCCACAGGATGGGAGAGAGATCTCGTACAATGGGATGGATACTCCCTTCATACCCACCACTCATCAATCAGTTGTTTTTTTATCTTTTTACAAACTAGGGCGCCACAGGGTTTTGTTTAAAACAAACAAACAAACAAAAACTTCAAAGTCAACCAAAAACACAAGTTTAAAAGCCACTGAACTAGAAGAACTCTCAGGTCCTTTCCAGTTCTTCATGCTGCTCAATGTTATGATCTCAAACAATCAACTTTGACTTATCACCACGATTACCAGATTTTGAGCAGACTGTTCAAGATTCCACTCATTGTTCTTACGATGCCTTAAGACATTATGTTGGATCACTAATCATGAGAGAAATGCAAATCAAAACTACAATGAGATATCATCTCACACCAGTCAGAATGGCCATCATCAAAAAATCTAGAAACAATAAATGCTGGAGAGGGTGTGGAGAAAAGGGAACCCTCTTACACTGTTGGTGGGAATGTAAATTGATACAGCCACTGTGGAGAACAGTATGGAGGTTCCTTAAAAAGCTACAAATAGAACTACCATATGACCCAGCAATCCCACTACTGGGCATATACCCTGAGAAAACCATAATTCAAAAAGAGTCATGTACCAAAATGTTCATTGCAGCTCTATTTACAATAGCCCAGAGATGGAAACAACCTAAGTGTCCATCATCGGATGAATGGATAAAGAAGATGTGGCACATATATACAATGGAATATTACTCAGCCATAAAAAGAGACGAAATTGAGCTATTTGTAATGAGGTGGATAGACCTAGAGTCTGTCATACAGAGTGAAGTAAGTCAGAAAGAGAGAGACAAATACCGTATGCTAACACATATATATGGAATTTAAAAAAAAAATGTCATGAAAAACCTAGGGGTGAAACAGGAATAAAGACACAGAGTTACTAGAGAATGGACTTGAGGCTATGGGGAGGGGGAAGTGTAAACGGTGACAAAGCGATAAAGAGGCATGGACATATATACACTACCAAACGTAAGGTAGATAGCTAGTGGGAAGCAGCCGCATAGCACAGGGAGATCAGCTCGGTGCTTTGTGACCGCCTGGAGGGGTGGGATAGGGAGGGTGGGAGGGAGGGAGACGCAAGCGGGAAGAGATATGGGAATATATGTATATATATAACTGATTCATTTTGTTGTGAAGCTGAAACTAACATACCATTGTAAAGCAATTATACTCCAATAAAGATGTTAAAAAAAAAAAAAAAGACATTATGTTGGCATTATGGTGTTGTGTTGGTTTTGGAGAAACACTAGCAAACAGAAAAACTGGGTGATACGGCTCCAAGTGGCGCTAAGAAAGAATCAACGGAAGTAAGAGAGTCGCTTCTGAAAATACTTACAGTACAAAAAAAACCTGGTCAATTGGCAAGATAACTGAGGACTTGGTGGATGTACTGGCTACCACTGTAGATGATTATTTTCAAACTATTTAGCAATACTGCATCAACAGCAGTTCATCCTAGCACAAAAACACTTAGCTTCACATGGTAAATGAATGACATAGCAATTCCTTCAGTGATACGATTAAATTCCACTGTTCAATACAATAATTAAATGCCAACACTGATTTTTTTAAAAGAAAACTCATTATGATGAAATGAATACCTAAGAGTATCTGAACTTATTACAATACATGCTACCATTACAACAGATAAGAGGCAGCCTGGAAGTATTCTTCCAAAAGTTCGAACATAGCAAACTGCATTACCTGACTCCAGCCTGGGTAATCATTTCCTTTACTGTAATTCCCATGGAGTGCAACCAATATCAATCGTTAACCAAAGAATCACGTGAAGAGTCAAAGAACATGCTCGGTTTGGGGGACCTCTAATCTGGTAAAAATTCCACCCATAAGGAAAACAAAAATACTAATTAGTGAGCCAGTTATATATATAGCTGAAATGTTCCTCTATTAAGTTTACCCAAAGAAAAAATATTATCATTTGGCTCAAACATGAAATGTATACTGTTTCTGTTCATAAATGCTTTCCGTTCTCTGCAATACAAGTCTGAGTCATCAGTCTGGAAAGTTTGTACACACGACCTTCAGGAATCTGTCTGTAGAGCTGCTGGAGGATCTCTTTTGACAGGCACCTACGCACGAGCTCAAACAGGCAGACGCATTTGAAGAACAGACCTGCCTTCATTCAGTGTACAAAGACAGAATTGAGCATTACTAAGTCAGTGTGTCCCATGCCCCCACTGTGCACATGCACAAGCACACACACACACACAATGAAACAAGACAACATGAAAACTGACACAAAAACAAAACCCAAATGATAGAAAACAATTCATGGTTGGTGTTCCATTTAGCTACAGGTAATATGTTCTGCAGAAACTTCTCAGAATTAGGAAGACTTCAGTGCCAGACGCCTTTTAAAGGAAGAGATGTTTGGGTATAATTGTGTTCTTAGAAGTGTCATCACCTGACAGACATCAGAACGGATGCCAGTTTTCCAGAATCCTTGGCTACTCAGCTCCACTGTTACTTCTCGCCTCATGGTATTCTTCTGTCGTATTTTTTGGAGTGCTTCCTAGAAAAGACCCCTTATGATGAGTAACCTTTAAGTTCTAAAGCAATACTAAGCCAAACAACAAGCATTAGTAAATTAGCTGGATTCATTCACCCTTACATTCAGGTAGTCAAACCTCTTCTTGCCAAATCAGATTAAAAAAAAATAATAAAGGCCTTGGGGATAAGCCAGCTTTTCCTGGTAAATAGATAAGAAAAAAATTAAACCAAATCAACTACTCTGGCAAGTTCAAACAAAAAATGCCCTTTTACTGAAAAAGAAACAAAATGCGGTGTTTGGAATTTGAAATCAGCATGTAAAAATTATATTTAAATCAAGCCTTATGCTAAGCATTTACATATAAGAAAGACAATCAGTAAATTAACCAGAAACCCATGTAATTGTCAAAGCTGCCTTCCAATTTGCATACACTTGCAGCAAGGGTACATTTTATTAAAAAAAGACAGTGATCCAAAACTTCTGCAAGACATAAACAGGAACTGACTCTTCCCTTTTATGCCGCCCTTCAAATAATTAATGATAAAAAATAATTTTATACTTGTACGCTTATTCAATAAAAATCTCATAGGAATTCATAATTACAACAGGAACCACCACCACCAGCTCCACCATTGATTAAGTTCCTACTACAGGCCAATACCACTGGAGGAAAGTTAAATGGAGTATTTCCAAGTCCATACAACCACCTTTTTCCCTGGGTGCACCAACAGAGGGACATTTCAGTCAGCCTCTCTTGGCCTTGGTTCCGTCCTATTATAATGAAGCTGACTGACTCAAGTCACAGAAAGTGATGAGGTCAGAATTCAAACACTTTTGCCAGCTTCAAAACCTTGCTCTTGGGACTTCCCTGGTGGTCCAGTGGCTAAGACTCTGTGCTCCCAATGCAGGGGGCCTGGGTTCGATCCCCGGTTGGCGAACTAGATCCCGCATACATGCCTCAACTAAGAGTCTGCATGCCTCAGCTAACAAGTCTGCATGCAACAACTAAGAGTCTGCATGCTGCAACTAAAGATCCTGCATGCCACAGTGAGGATCCCGTGTGCTGCAACGAAGACCTGGCGCAGCCAAAATAAATAAATAAATATTTTTAAAAAACCCCCACCTTGCTCTTACACTATGGCAACAGAATAAAACCTTACTAAGACAAAATTTATGTTGATACTGAATCCATTTATTCTTAAAATTAAAACTAAAACACAAATGATCCTAGAGTTCAGATAATACTACCCATTAGTAAAGAAATATGGAATTTGGGATATAAAACCTTAGAAAATCAGTTCACCTTACCAAACTAACAGACATATGGAAGCCAATCTTTTACAACTTTAAGACCACGAAATTTGAATAAGTGGTACTATGTGCAGCCTAATTAATGATAAAAGGCTGATCCAGCACGTTTTAAACTTTAACTCCTTAGAAGCTATATTTATTCTCAACTTTCTTTAAAAAACTGGCCTTTTTAGGGGGAGAAAATGGTCCCTTAGCTACTAAAAGATGAAAAAAATCAATCAGCATACTAATGTGAGGACGGGAATAAAGTGTGATTTTTTTAAAGTTTCTTTAAACCAATTGTTTTAAAGATTGTTGTAAAAACAATCTCAAGTAAACCTGAAATGCATCACCATTAGTCACAGGAGAACAGGGTCCGATACCGACCTCCCTCTGTGCCAGCTTCTGCTTGTCAGTTTGTTTGACTTTAGGGCTATTTGCTAGGAGGTGGCGAAGTTTTACATAACTCTTCCACAGTTTCTGGTACCTAAGGAAAAGGACAGACAGACACCTCAGACAAAAAGAAGGCAAATCTGAAGTGCAATAAAGCCAGGTGTTCTAACAGGCCTGCTCAATCATAAATGCATTCTTGTGAATATCCTTAATGGCAGCAGACCTTCATTCTAAGGAAGGATGTGATCTGGGGGCGCTGAGGGGCAGGATGACCAAGAGGCAGCTGCAACCTACTTATTGACTGCTGCCTACATGGGTTGAAAATGAGGTGTCACTATACGGATGAATCTCTCTGGAAAAAATTCCTAGGGAGACACAGAAACATGTATGGTTTCTCATTGTTACCTCTTTAAAAGTAACACGTTTTATTTAAATATGTGTTTTCTGATGTTTGTTGAAAGACCTCTTACTTAATAAAGATACTGTCCGTGTCCAAAATGCCTTCACTGAAAGTGAAAGTTGGAGAGTATTAGAAAAGAGAACCCCTTTTGGGACAATACCCAAGCTACATAGCTACATACATCCATTTTTCCACTGGGAAGGGAAAAAAGACAAATGGTGTATATCAATTTGTATATGCCATGACAAAAATAAGCATATTTGTAGCCAAATATGTTATAACCTGGATCACAGTTAAAGCATCCTGGAAATGAAGAGAATATGAAGTCTTTTATCAGTTTACACTCCTGCCATCTGAGAGTCCACGAGAGGCTAATCACATTCTACTAACACTTTTCTGAAAAGAAAGGACTTTCCTAAGATTTTCTGTCATACTGAAACTGCTCCTTCCTTGGCCTTAGCTGGGTGTCTCCTTTCTGATAACATTTTTTTAGAGAATGGAGGAAAGAAAGAAGTACTTACACAGTGCCTGGTTCACTGCTTCATACTTTTATCCAAAGGGGGGAAAAAAGAACAAAACTCTTTAGCCTCTTCTAATATATCAGCCAGAATTGGATTTATGAATTGAAAATCTCCCATGCCCTTTTCTCCCATTATGAATCCTTTAAAAAAATTAAATCAGGAGATGGTTTGTTTGTTTAACAAGGTAGAGAATCCAAACACTCCTGAAGAATATAATGGTACTATTTCCATTCCCACACATCTTCATCTTCTCCCAGCAAAACACTAACATGCCAGTTGGAAAGTAACATCAATTCTAAGAGTCAGAAGTCATGGCTTCTCCTTCCAATACAACCCTTGACTTTGCATGGGATGTTGGGCTCTTACTAAGATGTACCCAAAAAACAGAACTCTGCGTAAATGTGGCAGTGCTAAGAACCAACATGGCGCTACTTTCCTCTAGAAGGCACTGAAAAAAATAAAAAAGAATCATAACAGTAAGTACTATAATGATGGATAAAGGAAAAGTTCCTTAAAGGTTAAAAACATACAGGACTCATATGACCAAGACTGCCAAGGATAATCTATTGAACAGTAATTTCCTAAAGTCAAACATGTAGAGAAAATAATTCTTCAGGAGCTACCAAAACCTGCTTCATTTGGTAACCTAAATTTGGAAACATGGCTCATTTCAGGTCTTAATTTTTAAAAAGAAAAAATCCACTAAAGGGGATTCCTCGGTAATTCAGCTGTTAGTAGAAGGTGAAATTGGCTAAGACAAACACTGAAAAATATCTTACTGTGGGTCTCCAGCATAACTCAACTGTGCAGGGCGTATCCCAAAGTGGACAATAATAGGAAAAGTAATCACATCGGGGTTGAACTGTTCACGATCCAGTTGATCGATGCGGACAGAGCTTGGTTTCTAGAGAGAAAAATCAAAGCCATTTATTCCCTTAAGAATTCTTTAAGTATTGTCTTTAATCTAAGTAGGGAAGAAAGTAATCGGATTTTCCCCTAGGAAAGCCTCATCCCCAAAGGGAAAATGTCATTTAAAAACCCTTTAATCATAGCAGCTAAACTATATAAAAACTATAATGTCATCCCTATAAATGAGTTTGTGCCATTTGGCATAATGAACAATGATTTTGTCCTTGTTTGCCATCCACATAGAAACCTTTAAAAATTAAACTTTTGAAAGGACACTTAGGCAGATGTAACTTTTCCTTAACCTCTCCAAAGACACAGAGGAAGTATTCCACATGACCAGAAAGAGATATGCTGACTTATTCTGCTTTAATTTCACATTTCAAATGAATAGCTTATTTCTACGCAGAAGGCACAGACAGATGCCTCTATATAATTTTCCCCCATTAGTTCTCTGTGTACCTTGTGTATTCCTTTAACTCTATACCTTTAAATTAAAAGGTATGGTGGTACAAAGACCAAATAGTTAAGCTTCTCTTATTATGTCCATGGAGGCCATTCTTAAATTTTAATAGAGAGTTTCATAAGTCTATTTTTTTCCCCCAAGTCTAATAAAAAAAGAAGTGAACAGCTGGTTCCTTCTTAAGTTACTTAAGTATGAGGATCCATTTGTAAAATATCTTTCATCTTGAAAGCTTAAGTTTGTGAAAAGATGGTAAAATCACAGAGAGTGTGCTTTAGCAACCTTCTTGCTTATACTCAATGCTCAGGGCAGTCCCTAATTAGAAACTAAATTCTTACTAAGAGATTGTGGCGTCTTTGGCTCAGTTGCTTTAGAGCCAAGGCTATGCAGTTGATCCCCATGGAGGCCAATAAGCTTCATTCTGTTGAACAGCTATGCCCAACAACTATGACTTGTTTGTCCAGGACACAGGGGTTTCAATGTTAAAACTGGAAAAGCCCCCAGCAACTGGGACAAGCTGGTTACCCTACCCACAACCGTAGTCCTAGTCAGCCATCTGACAGATACAAGTTGGTGACAAAGTAAAAAGATTTGCATAAATTCATCTAGATTAGTGAAAAAACAACTTAGACTTCAGTTTTTAAAGAATATTTCAATGTCATTTAACAGTCAAAATTTTACTAGCATCTTGAAAAGTTGACCTCTGCTCTCAAAATTAATAATTGGAGAAGATTTTGGTCACAGAAAACCTAAGATAAAATTATTTAAATGCCCATCAACAGTAGCAACATGTTATTTGGGTCTAAGAATTGTTTCCAGTATTTTATGCATCAAAGCAGCAGAATTCATTTTTAAAAGAGGGACTGCCCCACAGAAAAACGCTAGTGAAGTATTCATGTTTTCATTATTTTAAATACCATGCTATGGTATCAACAGAGGAAATAGTCATTTAAAACATCTATAGTATCTCTAATTTATAGGGGGAGGGGATGAAATAAGTTCTAGACTTTGGCCACACACTACAGTATCTATCACACCATTTTTGTAGAAGAATAAAAAACATTCTCGCCAATGACCAAAGTATTCCCCAGCAGAGGCAAAGTTCCTAGGGAAGGAGATTAATTCTTCTAAGTTCTGCAGCAATAAAGTACTTAATGTGACCATAATGGTTTGGAAATTTTAATAAATTCCCCAATATCCTTACCACTGGGCAATCTTCCAAAGCAAGTACTGCAGAGGATGAAATGTGGTGCCAGGTCTATTCTCAAAAGGATATAATGAAAGGATATTTTATTATACTGAGTTTTCATAATATTTTTCTCCTTTACACTAAGACTAAATACTAAAAGAAGAAAAAAAAATTAACTTCAACATGTCCCTAAGCTTGGCACCCAAACATAGCTTTCTTAATTTATTTCCAATTACTTTCCAACATAAACCTTTCACCCTGACTAACCTGTGGTCTCCTTATTATCTTTAAAACTGGCCATATACCATCTCAAGTATGTACATTCAATTGTGCCAATAATTTATACAATTTCTTGATTCCTTAAATACTACAGTAGAATGTTTATGAAGAATTCCTTGGCAGCCCGGCCCAGTGACTCACCAAAAACTACAAGCTTTCCTGACCGGCTTTTTCAGATTGGTCCATTGATTCAATAATTCATCACAAACTCCTTTCATATGGATATGCTGTGAGTTTGCAGCTGGACAAGCAACATATATAATGTATATACTTCACTAGCACCTGGCTCACGTAGTAGTCCCTCAACAACTGAGTTGAATGATGACGATGGTGATGGAGTAAATATCCTCTACGCCATTGTCTCAAAAACAAGCAAGGAGTGAACCAGAAGCAACTGGGGATTATTTTTTTAAACTTCAGATCTTTGAACCCCATTACGTGGAGCATATGGGGTGGGGTGCATCAGGGCATTCTTATATTTTCAAAAGCTCTCCAACTGATCCTAGGATCTTAGGGAATTTTAACCAGGCTGTGGAAGAAAGCCCCAGGATGAAAGTGTTTCCACAGTAAATCATGGGATTCTTCAAGCAGACCTACCAAGGTGAAAAGGCATGTCTCCCACCACCATCACACCCACCCATCCTCTGACCCAACTATAAAACTGACAGAAGAAATGTAAATTTGTGCAACTGTTTAAAGAAAAATTAAGTCCAGAGTCACACTTGCATAGTACTATGACTTGTATACTTCTTTTAAAGTTACTTTAATAATTATTTGTGTGGCTAAACAATATAACAGTAAAAATTGTATAAATTTTTTAGTTTTAAACAAGTTTAATGTTTAAATACGTTTTTATTAAACTTTCACTTTCTAGATTTGTTTAAAATAATCAGTATTAGTTGGAATATTTGATTTGAAAATAGCAACATTTTGCTTGTGCAGATGTTACTGTCATGCTACAACAAATTGATCCAGAGTTTTTATTTTTATGAATCAAGGCTATTAAGCAATTTGGCAGCCTTTTAAAAACAACAGCTTTGTTTAAATAGACTACTCTGTTTCTTTACATAGAAGTATTTTAATTCTCCACTTTTGGAAAATTGTATCCTGATAAGATGCCAATATATAACTATTTTATGAAATAACATTTTAGACAAAACAATTTTTTAATAAATATATAGAACAGCATATTCTTTATAAGAGAAAACTACTTATCTATTAATTCTCTGCTTTGATTTTTATATTTTTACCTCAAAATAAACATTAGAAGCAAATTTTAAAGCCAAAAATTTACAAAACAAAATGGGAAATATTTGTAACAATTATGGCAAAGAATCAATAAAAAAGGACAAATACCACAAAAGAAAGTTAGACAAAGGATACCGATAAGCCATTATCAGAATTTAAAGGTCAATAAACATTTAAAATATCAATTTTTGCTAGAAACCAAAATAAACAGAAAACTGAACTAAATAGTATCAATTTTTTTCCTACCAAATTGACAAAGTTTTTTGTTAAACTAGTATAACCGTATGAAGGAATGGGCAATCTCATATACTCCTTGTCAGAGTGCAAATTCTACAACCCTCTGGAAGGCAATTTATACCATGTACCAAAAGCCTTCAAAATGTGCCTACCTTAAGGAATTAAATGGACACATTCAAAGATAAATACATACATATGTATACATGTTTACACACATATATACAAATTCAACACAGCATTATTTGTTATAGCAAAAATCTGGAAGCAACCTAGGTGCCCAATAACAGGGGGTTAATTAAATAACTTAGGGGCTTTTTTTTTATTACACGCCTAAAGAGATTTAAGACTAAGGAAAAGAAACGACTTTGTGGTGGTTGTTCCTGGAGGAGGATAAGAAGGAAAAGGTCTGAATGTTAATATTTAATAGTATGATGCCAATTTTGTTTCAAAACAATATGAAATATGTCTATTCTAAATAAACTAGAAAAGTGAATAGTATCATCTCTGGAGAATGGAATTATGGGTAATTTTTATCTTCATTGGGCCGTTTTTCTATTTTCCTAATTTTCTATAGTGAAGACATATTACTTTCATACTCAGCAAAAAATTAGATCTGAACATATCTAAACACTTCAAAATTCTCCATAATAATCAGAATAAATTTACTAAGCAGATGAAATTACTACTAAATATGCCTACATTATATTTTTCTTATTTACTAAATATTTAAAGGAAAAAATTACTCAAAGAACAAGAAGCAATGAGTACGTAAATCTTTAAAAATGTTCTGTTATCGTTTTTGCAAAACACTCAAACCTGAAACGAAGGTGATTCAGTCTCTGACTGTCAACACCAGCACATACCGTCCCAGGGTTGGTGACAATCATGCCTTTGCATTCTTCCGCATATTTCTGCCACTCAAGTTCTTCCCACTGAAGCATATTGGCAATCTCCTCTTCGGGAACCAGGGCTTTGCTACACCGTAATAAGTAAAGGAGGATCTGGTGCATGGACAGTACTTCCTTTCCTCCGTCTTAGGGGACGGTGGAGAGAGAGGGAAAAATAAGGCTACTCAATTAACAGCCAGTCATCCACCCAATAAGGAAAAATGAGACAATGAGAAGAGAGCATTTTTAAAAAGGTAGTACAGAATTTACATCATTAAACCTTTGTTTAACCAAGTGCTAAATAACAGGAAAGCCATTTGTTTCACTGATGAACGGTGCTCATAAACTACCTTATTTACTAAAATGGCAACAATGGCATTATAAATGATAAAAGGCCCATACGTAAGGTAGGAATATAAAAAAGGTGCCTACCTAAATAAATTTAAAACCACCTAATGTAAAGAACCACAGTTTATAATATACAGAACCGTGTTATGTTTTAGGTATTTTATCACTCTTTACAGGGTAACAGATGAAAGCTCTTTGACAGTGATGTTACTGATTTAAGGAAATTCTAAGCTTTTATGAGATATTTATGGATGTTTTCAGTAAGCTATCGTTGCATTATGGTCTAATTTTTTGGTGCTAATGTGCTGCACCTGCCATGAGGAATAGAGCTAAAGAGCTTGTATTAATATCATGAAATCATTGTGGAGTTAGTACATGGAAAAAATACCAAGTACTCTGAGACTTACAGAAGCATATATTACCAAGTACAGAGGATAAAAACAACAAAGAACATAATGAAAGCACCTTGGAAAAAATCAATTAATCTGGTACTTGATGAATCAAAGACATTGATCTAATGTGAGCATTAATTTCAGATTCACAGGCTTCTGCCTTCTCTTTGGGCTTAGGTTCTTGACCAGCATGTACAACCACCTTTTCTCTGCCTAGTCCCACCCAAAGGAAGGACAAGAGCCCTGAAGGTGTAGAGAACAATAACTACCCTTCCCAGGTCATGAGACATGCTAGGAACAGTGGTATAGGACCAAACACTTCATGGAGAAACAAGAGGACCAAGATGGTGGAGATGGGTAGGAATAAATGAGGGGGTCCTATTTGTGCTAGATAGAAGAGTTCATGGCAGCCAAGGAATCTGGGATACTAGTAAATGGAAGAAGATAAAAGATTTTAATTCAAGTTGCTATGGGCTAAGAACTGAAGCCTACACAAAATTTCTTTTTGATCTGTGTCTTTCTATCTCAGATGCTGCTCTGGAATTAGATGGCATTGCTGCTACAGGGCCACTATATATGTAGGAATGCATTCATTCATTAATCTAAATATGCATTCATTCATTCAATAATTACCAAGCACCTATCATGTAGCAGGCCTAGGAAACACAGCTGTGTTAAATAGCCAAAACCCCTTATGGACTTTCCTGGTGATGCAGTGGTTGAGAATCTGCCTGCTAATGCAGGGGACACGGGTTCGAGCCCTGGTCTGGGAGGATCCCACATACTGCGGAGCAACTAGGCCCGTGAGCCACAACTACTGAGCCTGCACGTCTGGAGCCTGTGCTCTGCAACAAGAGAGGCCGCGATAGTGAGAGGCCCGCGCACCACGATGAAGAGTGGCCCCCGCTTGCCACAACTAGAGAAAGCCCTCGCACAGAAACGAAGACCCAACACAGCAAAAATAAATTAATTAATTAATAAACTCCTACCCCAACATCTTCTGAAAAAAAAAAAAACCCTTATATTCCAGTGGAGGGAAAGATACAATAAAAAACAACTACATAATAATAGATCAGAGATGACTGCTATGAATAAGGGTCAAACTGGGCAACTACACATAAAAGGGTGGTCAGGAAAGGTGTCTTTGAAGAGGTGTCACGTGAGCAAAGACCTGAAAGAAGCAGAGGAGCCCCATGAGGCTATCTGGGAGCGGGGTGTCTTGGGTAGAAAACATAGCAAAAGCCCTAAGGTGGAGTGGGATTGATGTGTTCCAGGAACTGCCAAGAGGCCAGCGTGGATGGAGTGAGGAGGAGGAGAGCGTGAGGGAGGCAGCAGGGAAGTCAGATCTTGCCAAGCTTTACAGAGCACAGGAAGCGCTCTGGACTTGACTCTCAGACGGGAGCATGTTTTTCACCATCATGTGCCAGGCACTATGAGTGGTCCCATGTAGCAATTGGAAAACAAACAAACAAAAACACAAGCTCTAGGCCTTCAAGAAGCAAGTTGACTAATGATGACTAATCACAACTGTTCCTAGAGGAATCTTTGCAGATAACATTCTGAAAACAGAGCTCTCTTAAAGACACAGAGTCTCTTAAAAAAAAATAACTGTCTAAGAAGTAACTAAAGTACAAAATACAATCAACCCACAGGAGGACATGTTCTACCTACCCTTCATATTATTGTTCACAGCAGTAAAAATTTTTTATGCCTCATTACAAAACATCAGCCTTAAACCCAGGAGTCACCTTTGATTAACAAACTTCCATGGTTAAGGGCATATTTCTCAGTCTGTCTCAATAGAAATTTTAATCCGCCTGCACGTGACATGTCTTTCTCAATCAATGATGTTCCCCTCTTTGCTATGGAGCCCAGCATAGTCATAATGCCTACCTGTCCGTCTGAGCCCATGGTAATCTCTGCTTCTAGGGGGGCCTGAAGTGACCAGGTAGACAAGAGAGCTCTTAAAGTCAGAGTAAGTTGACTTACACTTGCACGTGTCCACATACAGGGCAGCAGGGATAAAGAAAACCTAGAGAGCCCCGAGAAGAACTGCCACACTAACGAGATTCTAGGCACCAAGGAAAGAGTAAAATAGTCTTTAGATTGTAATCATTATATTCGTTAAGGTTACTAAAGAGCACTGTAAGCCTGTAAGGATACATTAGAAGTCTAGGATACTATAAGCAGCAGAGGGTTGTTTTGTTGCGAGGATTAGAAAAAAACATTCAGATTTTATTTGGGGAGGCTGGTGCCTGGTGGAAGGAGAAAAGATATGCAAGTCCAGGTATACACACTGGCACCAGAATCTCCCCACAAGCAGTTACAAGTGGCTGACTTCAGGGCACTTCAAATAAAAGTGAAAAGGAGTAGGGGCGTTGAATTTAAAGTGAAAAGAATAAAAAACTCAAAGAGCTAGTGGGAGGGGGTAACACTTAAACCTACAAACCAAGGGCACTGCCCAATTTAGGAGAAGAATACCTGTGAAAGAAGGAAAGCCACTGAATGCTTATGAGAACGCGTCTACCTAGATTAGGTGCAAAGCTGCTGATGTGGGAGGAGAGTTTTATAGCAGCACGGAACTAGAAATAATTTTTTAAAAAACATACACACATCAGGTGCAAAATTGGTAATGCTGAAGGGGAAATTGTAAATCCATGTTGAAATCTGCTAAATATTTTAAATAGCAACTAAAATCTAAAAGGATAGATATTTACCAATGTGAAAAAGTAGAAACTCAGGACAGATAACCTGAGGTGAAATCCTTAAGGAAATATAAGGAAAAGTAGACGTGACTACAAAGTCCTGCAGAGCCCACGGGGCAAGGGCTGCATCCCTCACACCCAGTCAGGCAAAAAAAGACACTCCAGAAATATTTGTGGAATGACTTTCTGAAGCAGATAAATAATGTGGCCACTTGCTCGCAGACTGCCATGAATTTACTAATGTTAATGAATTGGCTCTTTTGGTTTGTCTGCTTTGCTACATGTTTATGTTGGGGATTTACGGAACTATGTCACTGAGGGCTAGGAAGTAATCTTTATCTCGTTGGCTGACATAAATAGGACATGATATAAATGAGAAATGAGAGTGGGTAAGCTAAGGTTAGCAGGAATTCTGCCAGCACTGGGACTGGAACCGTGACAATGGTTCATTATTCGGGAAAAACTGGAGTTTGTGTTTCGGGGAATGAATCTGGACAGTCATTAATGAACTGACAGACTTTATAAACTGTTTCTTAGAGACCCAATTCTCTCGGTTTATATTGCTTGATTATTTATATGGTTATTGGGGGGAGGGGCAATTTGCTAGGGAATTTGTGTTAAGAATACAGCTGGGGTACTTCCCTGGTGGCACAATGGGTAAGAGTCCACCTGCCAATGCAGGGGACACGGGTTCAAGCCCTGGTCCGGGGAAGATCCGACATGCCGCGGAGCAACTAAGCCCATGCGCCACAACTACTGAGCGTGCGCTCTGGAGCCCGTGAGCCACAACTACTGAGCCTACGCTCTAGAGCCCGTGCTCCACAACAAGAGGAGCCACCGCAGTGAGAAGCCCGCACACCACAACGAAGACCCAATGCAGCCAAAAAAAATAAAATAAAATTTAAAAGAATACAGCTGGTTAAACGAGTATTTCTCAAGGTTGTAACACTCAATTTTAAGAAATATAAAAATACCTTCCTCTTTTCTTACACTGAGAATAACTATATAGCTTCATTACCATGTCTCCTGTATATTCCTACTAAGACACCTTTGTATAATCTTAAGTTTTGAAAATTTGTATTAACAACACAGTATTTTCTAAACTTTCCAAATACAAAGTTATATTAAGATGCTATATCAATTGATGTTTTTTCCAAACTACACTTCCCTCCTGGGAATTTTGATATACTCTCCCACCCTCTGGCTCTCTGTCAGCCATACCTAAAGAATTACTTCTCCAAAAATCAATCTGCTAGATAACTGATTTGCAAAATTGATTCAGGATTCTCAAAGCTTTACTACAGCAATGATATAAACAATGAAAAGGCTTTCCCGTAAGTGCAGCCTTCCTGACTTGAATTATGCCCTGCCCCAGCCCTAACTACAGTCAGGATAAAACCTTCAAGTGGCTCTAGGAGAGCTCATATCAACTATTTGGCTACTAGAGGTAGAGGCAGGGATAGGAAAGAAACAAAAATTTGAGAAAACTCTTAAAATATCAATAAACTGGTTGTTCCGTGATTTGACTTCTGGTAAACTGGCCTGCACTGAATAATCCTTGGTTTAAACTATAAGCTTAACTTTGGATAAATTTGTATAAAGCAACTGAGACAGCTGTCTTCAAAGCAGGTCAACTGAGGAACTAGAGAAAAACTGGAATGACTGATAAACTTTCAGTTACATAGTATAATAAACTGATAC